AAAGGGGAAGACTGTCTGAACTATTGGTGGTCCTGTGACCATAGCAATCAAAATTGACTGCATCCTTGTTGGAATGATTACTAAGCATTATAATCCCTTCCTGGCAGTTAAAGCTTTGCACATTACTTAAATAATAAAATAATAGATACAGTGCCCACCTAAAGCAGACAAACACAGGCCATTGGTCAAAGTTTGTTATTATATGGCTGGCTCTATGGGTCAGAGGGATTTAGCAAATTCTGTCCCCTGTTTGGCTACCAGGGCAGGCAGGATGGGCTTGGGTTACCTAACAAGATAAATCTTTTCCAGTAGGTGTTACAGCTTGGTTATCTTAAAATGCCAGTCAAGGACATTAAAAAAAAAAAGGAGTTTTATAAGTTATATTACAATTCTTTTGAACAATAGAAAGATAAATCCATCATTGATCAAGCTTGTTTGAGTAAGATGGCTGGGAATTAGCCCTACACAAAAAGTATTAACAGATATCCTGCCATACTGACTCCACACTCGGTTAATAACATACATATTCCATATGTAATAACTAACAGCAACCGCTTGATGGTTGAGGAATGTCCTCCTGCCCAACAACAACCTTTTTAAAATTACTAGGTTCTGCATTTTTTACCAAATATTCTGCCACTGACTGTATAAGCTCTCTAATTCCAGTATCTGTCTTTGCAGATGTTTCAGCCCTGTATTGAAAATTACAATGACGAATTTGTATGTCTATGTGATTACAGAGTATTTTTTCAGCATCTCCTTTTTCTACACTGGGAAACTCCTTGTCAATCTTGTTCCCTACCAACACCATAGCAGCACCATTAGTATGCCTTTTAGCATCATCATAGTAGTTCTTAAGTTGTTCTAAGGTTTCCATTTCTTCACAGTCATAAACTAAGAGCACAACATTACTTCCATGGTAGTGCTGTCGAGTCAAACCAGCCTCATATCTCTCCATTCCAGCCGTGTCATGAAGGTGAATCTGACAAAATCATTTAAACAAGAAACAAAATTACCCTTGACAAATTGACATGAACTCAAAATGATTGTTCCTTTCACCAAATTTTCTTTAGAGGGGTGGGATGGGAAGAGTCTATTAAATTTTTTTTTAATCATGATCAGATTCTTTTACATGAACAAACTACCCAGAAAATGTGCCTTACAACCAACATAGGACTGTGCGCTTCAGTTGGTAGTAGGACCCACTAGAATCAGCAAGGCACAGGTTTGAATTTCATCAAAGCCTAAGTTTTTTTTTTTCAGAATTCTTTTCTACAATTTCCTCAGTGGCAGCTTGTCAACAAGAGTCATTTCTCCCACATTCAGCTCTCCAACTATTACATTACTCAATGATAAAAGGCTTGGCAGGAGGCTTGTATGTCCAAAGAATTACCAGTAGTAACATTTATTATTGAATGTGGCGGTAGCTGGCCAATCAACTTGATCACTGATAATTCAAAACAACTTG